CGGCTTTCTTCCTTTCCCCTCACACCCACCATGTTGGTATCTTGCAGCTCAGGGCTGTGCCAGGCATTGGTATGGTTCATGCTTAATTAAAAGAACGTAAGACAGCCCAGTCCTGGAATGAGGACTTTGTTTCATGGCTTAGAGCTGTCCGTGAAGGATAATCAAGATAACGCCAGCATCCTATAGCCCCTCTAACATGTCTTTGCAACCCTCTCGGCGTTGTCTGGATCAGCGAAAAGCGACAATAGCAAGAGTGACTCCAGGGACATCTGGATGAATAGACAAGCAACAAGAACGTTGCAAAAATGTAGTCACTTTGCAAAGTTTTGCTGTGATTAGTAATCAGTAGTGTGGATGTTAGTGATTAGTCAAATTACGTTGTACCTGAACATTTGAAGGGTGTAAGGACCAGAATCTGTAAAACCACGTTCATGTGCCCCAATTTGGCTGGGACACTTCATGTGTAGTGGTAGTGTTAGGTTAATGGTTCGACTGGATGATCTTAAAGGTCTTTTCCAACCTAAATGATGCTATGATTCTATGTGCATGAATAAATATTTACCCTTGTAATTCTATACTTTGCATCCTAGCCTCTCTCCTCAGTCAGTATGAGCCAGCTGCAAATTTTCCGCAGCATGTACCTGAGGAGCATTACCCGCGCCCCTTACCTGCTCTGTGCCGGGATCTGGCAGCACCCACAGGGGTTAATTCGGCGGAGGCAATCGGGATGGTGCCATTATAAAGCCGTGATCTTTGACGCAAGCGGAGTGCTCCTTCCGGCCCCTTACAAGACAGCCGCGGGTGCGTATTCTCATTTCTTATTTGCTCCTGTTGTTTCTATGCATGGAGGGAAAAGAAATTTCAGGTGTCCCTGTCAGCTGCCTCTGGTTCTGGTAAGATATTCAAGAACTTGCAATGACGACGATGGTACCCTGTTGTGCCATCAGAAGTGCTAGAACGGACAGCAACTGGCACCTGCGTTGACAGCTCCAGATCAGGGCCTGAACCCATCTGGTACTGAAACTGTCCTCTAATGACTCTGGCTGATACCACCCAACGTGGGTACTGTCCTTCAGGGCACTTTAAGAACTCCGTGTTTTCATCCCAAGGGTACCACACCAAAAACAGAGGTGAGGTGCTTCGGCTGGGGGAATGCCCAAACTTCTTCTCTCCATGTCTGGGTAAATTACCCCAGTCCAGCACATCATTTCTCGTGAGTGCTGGTCAATGTATCAGACCTCAGAGGGATTTCAAGCTAGTTTCCCAGTTCTGAGGATGCCGTATATGCTCTCTCCTGGCTTTCTTACTTTTCTCTGTATAGACTGGGAGGCCCGGAATTGTATTCCAGCCGGCACCATCCAGCAAGCTATACTCTCTGGAGGGGAAAATAGTCCCTCTCTGAAGTACACAAGAGGAGAGCTGACGACTGTGGAGTTTTTGCAGGAATTGGGACAGCAGTGCTTTGAGATTGTAAGCCAACTCCCCCCTCCTCTCTTTTTGCTTCCTGACTGCAGGGAAACAGGATCCTGCAATGTGGTGGTTCAGGGAGGAAAGAGAAGCTTTTAAAAGAAATCCTTTGATGGAAGGGTCTGGATTTACCATCTAGGAAGCATTGCTGTCTGATCAGGGCAGACTTTTCACTGCCATCGTCATTCTGGTACCCAGGCAGATTGATCAGCTGAATTTGCCTTCACTTCCATCAGCCTCTTCCTGCATATTTCATAGCTTTTTTTTACTTCAAGACATCTCTAGGATCAGCTGAGATGAGAAGACAGAGAGTCAGAGATCAGCTAAAAGGCTTTTGCTGCTAGTTCTTACATGGGCACGCTCAATGGATGGAGGCCGTGGCCTCCAGGAAGGGTTCTTAAGATCAATAGAAGCCCCTCCACGACAGCTCCAGGAACACAGTGCAAGAATCCTCTTTTGAATAAAGTCTTTTTCAAACAGCTCAGTCTAAAATGCAGGTTCCTTTCCTGCTTGCTGAATGGTAAAGCAGTATATATCTCTAACCTGCCTTCATTCCGTGGCAGGCACAGTCCTAGTGCATTTCTCTTTCCCCAAATCAGCCCTTTATCTCTGCTGCTGCTTCTGTAGACTTAGTCATGTGAGAACGCATGTTTATTTGGTCTAAGCAATTTAGCTGGGATATTCACTGACTGCCTTCTGCTGCAAAAGGGAGTAGGACAGCAAGAAAAGATGATCAGGCAACCTACCTACCCAACCACTCTTATTTTCCTCCCTGCTTAAAAACCATTTATGGCTAATTATCATTCTTGGGGGGGGTGTGTGTGTCTCTGGTTTCTTAGGCAAATATCTGTGTTCCAGTGGACTCTTTTCTCTTGGACTTGATCAAAAATGAGATGATAAAACAGCTCCCCATAATGGCAGAAGCAGTACAGTGTATCCGTGCAGAAGGTCTTAAGACAGCTCTTCTAAGCAACAGCTTCTGTCTGCTGAATGGAGAGGGCTTTCTGCCCCTAGACCGAGAGCACTTTGATGTGGTAAGCCTGGATGGATTGCAAAATGCATTTCTGTAGCTACGTCTGTAGAAAGCTGCAACTGAAGTTCTTTACATGCAGGGACCAAATGAGCAGCGACCGGCAGCATGTATTAGCAGACATAAATGTAATAGTCTGTGAAAATATTTCCTGGCACAATTTGTTGTAGTGACTGAGCCTTGAAGAGAGTCTGAGTGAGTGGCAGGTACTTGTGCCTTTGAAAATTCATTGCAAAATACCCCCACAACCACAAGTATACATGTAACAGGCATAGCTAGCGATGTTGATAAAGGACTTAGAAGCTGGAATGCTAGACAAGAAATAAATGTTATTACCCAGTGCCCCTGCTTGCTTTATATTTAGCCCTTACTCTTTTAAAGTTTGTTTCATCCCAAAGAATTGCAAAGCATCCCCCATATGAGAAAACTCCCACTACCCCAACATGCCAATCTGTCTGAGCTGATGAGCAGGCAGAGACCCCTCTCCCAGCATGCTTCGCTTTTGCAAAGATGAAGCAGAAGATTCACCATGAACCTCGAGGCTGGTTTGAGTGGCTTCACTTTACCAGGCAGTTATGAGGACTTGCCTCAGCATGACAGAAAATTTGCTCTTTTGTGTGCCCCAGCTCACATCTTCAAATTTCAGGAGTTTATTCATGTCTTAAGTTTGTTTTATAGCCTTGATCGAGACAACAAAATATGCAAAGAAGAGTAGTATTGGTACATGTAAAACCTGGGACTGTTTAAAGTCATCTTGTCAACATTATGTCATTATCAACTCAGCTTTCTGTGCATTATCCTAGTGACACCAGTGCCTATGAAGTTCTCTTAGTGGAGTGATGCTCTGTTGTGATGCTCTGTGCTACCTTTCATCCCAGACTGTTTCAAAGCACTTTAATAACCATGGCCTATCCGGTGTCATCACTCATGTGGTGTGGCTCTTCTGTAACAGCAGGCAACAGCACTGCACAGTAATTAGTGGGAAAAAAAGAATTAATTGAATGTGGATTTCCATTAGGACTGGCTTTTATGTCTATCTAATAGATTCATTTCTATTCCTAGAGTGTCTATCAGTGCAGGGTTGAAATATTGCTTGAATTTTTTATGGTTTTGAGGGCAATATGAGTATTCAGAGACTGACTCAAGATTTTTTTGATCCAAATTTGGGCAGGCGATTATGGTCAATATCTCTGCTGCTGCGAAAATTGCTTTGGCGTAGTTGATAGGTGCAATGGTCAGGACACTGCTTTTCCAGATCATTTGGAAGGTGGTGCAATCCAAGGCTTTCTTGGACAGCATTGAGCAGTTGGTTCAGTACAGTCTGGGGCATCCAGTGAGTCTCCCACATCGTGATATCTCGTTGGATATCTTCCATCCAAGGACTGGCTGATCCTGTTTAGCTTATTTGAGCTGACAGAGCCACAGCCAAGCAATTGGCACCCACGCAGTCACTTGAATCACATCCTATCCAGCTCTGTCAGCCCTCCATTCCCCGTGTCCTTTATTTCACATGTTACTTAGACTGTCAGTCTCTTTCCCACCCTCCCATCCTCCATTTCCAACACTGCACAGATGTTTGTGGTCACAGTAGGCTCATGCATAATCCATTTGTTGTTGCCGTAGATGGTTGAATCCTACCAGGAAGGAATGCGCAAGCCAGATCCTCGTATCTACAAGCTGTGCTTGGAGCGCTTGGGTGTTCAGCCCCAGGAATCCATCTTCCTCGACAGCAGCAGCCAGAACCTAGAAGCAGCAGCCCAGCTTGGCATTAAAACAGTGAAGGTACAAAGCAATGCAGCCAGAGCAGGCTTTGGGTATGGTTTCTAAGTCCAGAAGCTGTGTTTGACTTGAATGGCTCAGGATTTTCAATCACAGTGGCAGACTCGTGTTGCCAAGCCTTTTGTTTCAGCCTGTCCTTATTCCTACAGGATGTGGCAGGGTTAAAAGGGAGGATTACTGGCAAAGTTTGCACTGGCCTGTTTCATTCACAGCTCTAAATCCTACAGCCAGCGTAACCTCGGAGAATTCACTTCTCCTTTATGCACCTCAGTTTCCTATTAGAGAAACAGCCCTAACTGTATGGTTGAGACAACCACATCCATCTGATGTGAGAAAATAAGACATATTTAATACATTTCTAGAAGCCCTGAGGCTTCATGGATCTGTCAGCTGGGGACTGTCTGGTTATCCCCCAGGCTTTGGAGATAGTGAGCACAGAGGTTTTACTTTGGTGAGGGGGAAGGATAAGCATGGGACTGGTGGGAAGAGTGAACTCTGCTCCCCTGGACTGCGCACAGGGAATTCCAGCTCTTAGCCCAGCCCAAGCTCACAGTGCCTATGCCACAGTAAGAGGCACGTCTCTGGGACAGAGACCAAGGAGGGAGGCTCAGCGAGTATTGGTAATGGCACTCTGTGCTGGCAGGGACTGACCAGTGAATTCTGGGGTGTCTCAGTGGATCGGTGCTGTTGGACTCACAGGTAAATGCATCACAAGTGTACAGAGCTCTTTCTTTCCCAGGCAATTTTATCTTCTAACTCTCACACAGTGTTTCTCCCTCCCTCCTGCTTTCAGGTTGATGATCCAGAAGTAGCACTCAAAGAGCTAGAAACCTATCTGGGTTTTCCTTTGCAAGGGTTTGTTCCATACACTCGTTCAGTGAGACCAAGCATGGAAATCCCAAAAGATCGTCTGCAAAAGTACCTTGAAAACGTTCTCAGTGACCAGGCAACAGGTATTGCAGTGCTTTTTGCTCTTCAGCCTGAAAGCTTGCATATCTGGAGCCATTGGCTCTTTCCATCATATGACAGATGGATTGAAAAATAGTATTAATGAAAGGCTCCTAATCTCCAAGCAAATGGTGCAGCCATTCAGGTTTCAGTGATTCGTCACTGCTTCTGAGAAATGGGAAACAACATTTTAGGACTTCCTCATTTGGGAGGTGTTGCGCACAAGTTGCCAAAGAGATGCCAGGAATATTCCTGGCCTGTGAGCCATCTATGAGCGATTACCATGCTCCCAGGGATTTGGGACACAGGAGCAAAGTGTAGGTTCCTGATTGCTGCAAGTGAGACCTCAGACCCAGGCACAGGAAGGGGAAGTAAAACCTGGAGAAGTGGTGAGAAATAATCCCAGCTCATGCTTCTGTCTGCTGACCCTCTGCTCTCCACTCTTCAGGCCCACTAGTATTACGGCAATTTGGCCACGGACAGTCTACCCGGACCTATTACGTCAAGTTTGGAGATCGCTTGCTGGTGCTGAAGAAGGAGCCCTCTGACAGTCTGCATCCCTCAGGCCCTGCTGTCAGAAGGGAATACAGGTGAGAAGGAGCTGTGCTCCTCATGCCAGCTGATCAGAGAAGACTCTGGTAGGAGATCCTAAACAACCCCGTCCTAGGGACAGTGCTCTCTATTCCAGTCTTGGCTTCTCTGTTCCACATCACACTCACAGTTCACACGCCTGCCTCCCACATTGTCCTCCCCTGCATTTTGCACAGCTCCATATCCCAGTCTGTGATCTGTCCGTTTGCTACAGCTGGCGTAAGCAGTCCTGGATTGAAAGATAAGGCTGTGCTACCACTCTGCAGCTGGCGGTAAGCATGCAATTAGGACCCTGTGCCTGTGAAAAGCACCCTCCCCACTCCTGCACTATGATCCTTCCAATCCACAGAGCGCACCACAGCTCTCCCAGCCCATGCAGGGAGAGGCAGGATCTCACTGTTGTGTCTGGCACCTTGGGTGGGAGGGAAGTTGCAGCACAATGCTGCAGCTGAGCAGCGAGCAGCCTAGCTAAGGGCTAGCCCCATGCTGGAGCAGTCATGCTGCAAACCAGTTTGCTGTGCCAGAGGTCTCTGCCTGAGCAGCAGAGCAGCAGGATGCTTTGCGGGGGCTGCTGTGATCTCCCCTTGGTTTTTCAGAGTGTGTTAGTCTCAGGGCTCTGAGCCATGCAAAGATTTTGGTGTGCTTCTTTCCCCTACCCGCAGCCATGTTATTTTAGTGTGTTTAAAACTGAGCACAGAACTCTCTTTAGAAAGACTGTGTGTCCACCTAGCAACAATGCAGTTCTAGTATCGATTCCCTAACGCCTTTCTGTGCTGACACGGCTCTCTGACTCTCCCTGGCAGGGTACTGAAAGCACTCGCTGAGGCTGGTGTTCCTGTTCCCACTGTACTTGCTCTCTGCGAGGACAGAAGGTAATCTTGTCCCTCAGCTTTCACTCTGCTTGACAACTTCAGCCAGATTTGCCCAACGATGAGGAGAGGAGAGAAGGAGCCAGACCTCACAAAGTGCACTGGTGTAATTAGTCCAGTTTCAGGCTAGAAGAGCCTCTGGAAGTTCAAAGGATAGTAACACTTTTATTTGGCTTGGTTTAGGCGTGTCCTATTTTAGCCATTAATCAAAATTCTGTCTTCCTTCGAAAAGGAGCTATAAAACAATGTTGTAGGGCTTCCCGCTGACTCAGTATGCTCAGGTTTCCAATAAGGAGGTGATTTTTCTAACTGCCAGTCCTCAGACTTGCCCCAAGATCTATAGCTGCGATAGCAGCAAGTCTGAGACCAAGACACGCTGTCTAGCCTGCAGTCAGCACAGCTACGCTCAGATCTCTGCTGGCTGCAGTAATAAGTCTCTGCACTGCAGTTAAATGTGTGTCCACCGTTCGTGATGTTTGCATGCAGTGTGACAGCCTGCCTCCAGAGCCCACTGCAGGGGAGGCAAGGAGATGGTTGGTGCTGTAGCCTGGCCCCAAGATCAGCTTCCTGGGGCTGCAGGGAATAGGGCTGATCACGCCGCAGCCATGTGCTGCAGGCTGGCAGCCTGAGTTGGGCTTGAGCCCAGGCCACAGCTGGGCGTGAGTGCCCAAGTGCCGTTGAGGCTGCTCTTCATCTTCCCATGCAGGTGAGGCCTGGGGGCATGTTCAAGGTGCAGGTGAAATTTGAGGGGCGTTAGGTAGCAGGATTAACCTCAGACCCACCGGTTCCGCCTTGCTTTCCCAGCACCCTTGGCACACCTTTCTACCTGATGGAGTACTGTGCTGGCTGTGTCTACAGCGACGTCTCCCTGCCTGGGCTGCAGCCTAGCCAGCGGAGGGCTATTTATGCTGCCATGAGTGAAGTCCTCTCCAAGATCCACAGCGTAGACCTCAGAGCAGCCAAACTGGAGGACCTGAGGGAGCATGGTGAGAGAAGGCTATGTATCCTCTATCACTGTTTTCTTCTTCTGTGTATCAGCATTTCAAGGGATAGGCTCGGGTACAGGACTTGGGCCAAACTTGGGGGCAGTTGGGAAAGCGAAGATGAGCAGCAGGGTGTCTGAATCCCCAGGCATGGGTGGGAGGGTGTGGAGAGCTGCTTTAGATCCTCCAGGTCTGTGTTTCCTGTTAGTAGTTCCCAGAGCTTCCTACCATGAGCAAGAGCTGCACTGTGGGTGCGGGAGTAACTTGTTTGCTGCCATCTCTGACCAAATTTCCTCAGCTCCTCCAGTGTCTGCAGGCTATCTCAGCTTCTCAGAGCTGGTGGAGAAGTTACACTTTTGTCCAGGATCTGGTTATTTCCACCAGAATATCAGTGCCCAGTTAAGAATGTATGAGACCCCTGGAAATCACAATTAAACTCTTGGAGTTTATCTCAGGGTGCTGGACGGAGATCTGCTTGGCTGTTTGACTTTTTCTGCATGCACCTTTTATGCATCTCTTTTGAAGCCTCTTTGTTCCTGTCCCTTTCCCTGAGAGCCTTCATTCCCTTTTTACAGGTGATTACATTCAGTGGCAAGTTAAGACCTGGACAAAGCAGTATCGAGCTATGGAAACTCATGTTATCCCAGCCATGGAGAGACTCATCGAGTGGTTGCCTCTGCATTTTCCTGAATCTCAGAAGACAACAGTCGTGCATGGTGATTTCAGGTACTGCTTGGCTGACAGCACTGGCCTGGAGCACATCCCAGGCAGTAGAGAGGGAGAGAGAGTGTGAAGCGATATGCAAACTCCACAGAGATGCTGAGTGGGGCTGGCACAGCAGCTTCAGAGTAGTCTGAAAGCTGGGCTCTGGGTCATGTTCAGCATCCCCCAGGTAATGAGACCTGGAGGGCCACAAGCCCTTCGCATCTGTCATGAGAAACATATCCCAAGAGCTCTGACTGGTGCTCTCTGGCACACAGAGGTCTCATATTTTCCCCAGTGTTTATCTGCCTACTAGTGTGTGGCAGTCTGAAGCAGTGCCCATTCGAGAGCACGGAAGCTGGGGCAGGAACTGAAAGCCTGGACTCCTGATGTCCGATTCCAATCTTGCTGCCTCAGTTGGTGTTTCAGAGTTTCTTCGCCCAACCATTGCAAGCACTGGTCTTACACTGGGGGATCATCAGCTGTTTTCTGCAATACTCAGAAATCAGTCCTGGAGCATGTTACTAATGATATTTGGTTTTTAAAGAGTTTGGGTGTGTCGTGGTTTAGCCCCAGCCAGCAACTAAGCACCATGCAGCCGCTCGCTCACTCCCCCTGCCCTGGTGGGAGCGGGGAGAGAATTGGAGGAGTAAGAGTGAGAAACACTCCTGGGTTGAGATAAGAACAGTTTAATAATTGAAATAAAGTAAAATAGTAATGATAATAACAACAATATGATAATGATAATAATAATATACAAAGCAAGTGATGCACAATGCAATTGCTCACCACCCGATGACCAATACCCAGACAGTTCCCGAGCAGCGATCGCTGCTCCCCGGCCAACCCCCCCCAGTTTCTATACTGAGCATGATGTCATATGGTATGGAATAGCCCTTTGGTCAGTTTGGATCAACTATTCTGGCTGTGCCCCCTCCCAGTTTCTTGTGCACCTGGCAGAGCATGGGAAGCTGAAAAGTCCTTGACTAGCATAAGCAGTACGTAGCAACAACTAAACCATCAGTGTGTTATCAACATTCTTCTCCTACTAAATCCAAAACACAGCACTATGCCTGCTACTAGGAAGAAAATTAACTCTATCCCAGCCGAAACCAGGACAGGGTGGCTGGTGAGACTCTGCAGGTTTGTACAGCAAAACCTGCCAGTGTTAAAAGTGAAGACATGCAGGAGCATGGTGGCTAGGGACAGAGGTGAGGGATGCTGAGAGCTACTTCTGCGTTGTCAGACCCTGGGTGCCAGGGATGTGAGGCTGCAGCGTAGGCGTGTGCCAATTCTGAGCGAAGGCTCCTTCCCGCAAGGTTTAGTGCATGCGGTTCCTGTGTGAGTGGAAGCTGGTGAGCTCTCTGCACCCTGGCAGGATAGCTGCTCTGTTTCCTTCTCGGTAAGCTGCTGCCCTCTCCTGGGGCTCAAACTGTTGAAGGCTGTACTATGCATAATATACAGCACATGACAATGCAGGGCCTGGAGTTATTGTGTGCCTTTGAAATGATCAGAAGATCCCCCTGGACAGTGACTTGCCTGCTTCACTTTTTGGCTAGCCTGTCCAGTAACATCTGTGAATGATCTGAGGCCCTGAATAACTTGGTTTCATTCTTCAAAGCACAGCTTAGTTCATCATTAACCAGGGAGTTCACTGTTGAGTAATATTCGTCCTCCCTGACCTATGCTTGCAGAAATTAATCTTTCACTTGTGCAGCCTCCCAAAGGACTCAGCAATTTTTGAAGAGCATGAAGAGCACTGGAAATCACCTACTGCTGCTGAGCACTGGGATTTTTTCCCCCTCTTGAGACTTTTCTGATCTCTTTTTCCCTCTGATACAGGATGGACAACCTGGTCTTTCATCCAGACAGGCCAGAAGTCCTTGCTGTCCTTGGCTGGAAGCTTTCAACTCTAGGAGATCCCATCTCTGATTTGGCGAATAACTGTATGGCCTACTTCCTGCCACCTCACTTTAATGCACTGAGAGGTACAGAGAGGCGCAACATCATGTTTGACGCACGGAGAGAGGAACCAGAGTTTAGGAGCAGAGTAGCTCCTGCCCAGAGGGTTCAGCTGACAGTTGGGCTCATTGCAGTTGGAAGGGGCTATGTCTCGTACCATATTCCCTGCTCTGCCCTTTCTCCCCTCCTTGAAGAACGCCGCATCCTTCCAGGGCGGAAACATCTTTCTGCATGTGCAGTAATCACTGTGGCATGGTCGCCCCATCCCCAGTTTGTCTCGTATCTGCCACCCATTTGGCAGGTACTCTGCCATGCACTCCCTATCCTGGTTGGCACTGTCACCCTGTGCATACACATGGACCTTTGTTAGCAGTCACATCAGGGATGGCCCCAGAGAGGAGGACCCTGCTTCACAGCTTGCAAAACTGTGTTTAAAAATTAGCTTGGGTTATTTTCCCTCTCACTTCAGCTGTAAAGCTGGGGAACTCTTTTGGGTGGGAAAGCTGTGAACCGGGCCAGCCCAGAAGTGGTTTGTCCACAAAGTTATACACCTGTTAAAAATAACAGTATAGGGGTAAACAGGGAGGAAAATCACTCCATTGTTTAGGAGGAAGATCCCTCAGTCACTGCTTTCACAATCTCACCCCAACAAAGAAAACTGCCCCGTATGCATTTCACCTACGTGGGTTGGTGCCAAACCCCCATTGTTATGTACGGAACCAGCATGGCAGCAGTGCAGGTGTTGGATGGGTGCAGGTGTCTCCGCTGCTCCGCAGCTGCATGGCTCTGCCACAAGCCTCACGGCATCCCTAGAAAGCTCTGAGCTCCTCACTGTCTGCTGCTTCACTGTTGCCTCTTCATGTCTTCCAGGCTTGAGGAAGTGTGATTTGGGGCACCTGGGAGTCCCCACGGCAGAGGAGTATTCCCGGATGTACTGCAGCCACATGGGAGTGGAGCACCCTGAGAACTGGAATTTCTACATGGCCTTTGCCTTTTTCCGACTGGCTGCAATGCTGCAGGGACTTTACAAACACTCTCTGGAAGGTGAGGAACCCAACCATGATCTCCAGGCAGAGCACAGACACACGAGCACCAGTGTGGGGAGAGCTCTCACCCTGAACCAGTGGAGGTCAGACCGGCAGCACGTGCTGCAGGGTTCAGGCACTTCTGGCTGTGAATCCCAAGAGCTCTGAAATTCCAGGTGCTACAGCAAAGTGTGGCATGTCTGGCAGCCTTGTGCTTTCAGCATAGAGCTCCTGTGGGAAATAAGGGATCAAAATGAGAGACCTTGTTTCACTCTGGAGATGAGTGACCTGGGAGTAATCATGCAGTGAGTTATTGCTGCAGGTAGACAAGAGGGATGTGAACAGTGTCCTGTAAAGCACAGAGCTCCCTCCCTGCTCCAGCACAGGCTCTGGAGGGTGTGAGGCTGCTAGAACCTCTCAGGCTGGCTGTGCTGTGTATTCAGGTTGTGCCCTGCAAACAGAAAAAAGGGCCAAAGGGGAGCACAGACAGGTCATTCCCCCAGCAGCTGCTTTTTGCTGGATGCAAGGTCTCGTCTGTTCCTGTTTGCTGTTTGTGCTGATTGGAGGTTGCTGTGTGATCAATTTTCTTTCATGGGAGAACTGAGCAGAGGCCAGAGTTCAGAGCTCAGACCCGTGTCCTACAGGTGGAGCTCTCAGACCTTCAATCTAAGCACCACCTTCGAAGAGAGACTCAAAGCAGGGAGGTGGGGTGAACTCTCAGTTGTGTTTATCTGCATACATGAAGTCTGGCCTGGGAGGCTTTATCAGAGAAAAACAAGATGTTATTTTCATATTCCTTAGATAGGAGTCTCCTTGAGTCCTGCTGGGCTGGCCCAGACAAGGGCACATGGTGCTGTTTGGGACGTGACTACATAACATGGGCTCTTTCAGACAAAGATGGCCAGTTCTTCTCTTGTCCCCAGGGAGGCCAGCTCCAGGTGAAAGCAGCCCAGAGGATGCAGAATTTGTGGCTGACCTGGCTTGGGAGTTTGCCATAAAAGAAGGATTCCGTGTGTTTGACAGCCTCCCCACCACAAAACCTCTCGCACGATCTTACAGCACCTGGGCCAGGCGAGGGCCAGTCCTCAGCAGGAGCTATGGTACCTGGCCACATTCTGGGGCAGTTCCTGAGCCCAAAGTCCCCCTGGTCACTGCCGCCACTAGCCTGCTGGGGATGGCCCAGGGTCTTTGCTGCAAGCTGGAAAAGATCATGGGTGTCCAGTGGAGTTTTCTGATTTCCCAGTCCAGATGGACTCCACGTCCGCTTCTAGAACTGAAGGTGAGACATCTTCCTCCTTAAAGTAGCTTTGCTTTGCTGCACCTGCGCCAGGGTGGGGGACTGTGGCATGCCTCTGTGTGTCCTTGCTTTCCTGATCACATCAGACACTTGGCACTTGCAGAGTCCAATGGCTTGGAGAAAGGAGGCCGGGTTCCCGTTGCTGGCTACATTTGAGTAACAGAGTTCATATTCTGGGAAACAGCAATTTCAGAAGCTGGCACTCCCAGGATGAGCAGATTACCGCCAGCCCAGCTGTAATTGCTGGTGCTGCTCCACCAAGGTCCTGCCACCAATGCTGGTGGAGTCTCCAGAGCCTGGCTGGGCTTGGGCTTTTGAACACCTGCCAGTCCAGCGCTTGCTCATTCCCTTCCCCTGGCAGGGCTCTGGAGCCTCGCTGCAGCTTCTGTGTGGGAAAGGCTAAGTTAACTTTCTTTTAAGAGTCCCTCCCAGTGCTTTCTTGTGAGATAGGGCAGGGAGCGGCTTGCACCTCCACAGCTTCATTTCCTCCTTTGTGTTCTCTTATCCTGTTCTCCCTGGCAGGGGCTGTCCCTGCAGACGTCCCTGTCAGCAAACAGTTGTCTGCCCAGTGATAAGCCGAGTGTAATCGGCAGTGCAGGCTCTGGGATGCCACTTGGAGTTTGACCCTACTACCGTCCTGGGCTCTCCTGCACAGAGTGGGTGCTGCTGCAGCCCTGAACCCTCAAAATGGAGGGACATTGGTAATTCCTGGTATGGTGGGGAGGAAGCAGAAACCAGCTACCAAAGTGACTTGCCCATGGTCACGTGGTGGGTCAGTGGCAGAGATGGGAGTATTATCAGGTCTTGAACTGTAGGGTTTTAAATACACATCTCTTCCTTCTGCCAGTGCAAGGCAGGTCGGGTCAATACACAGGTATCAGGACACCTGGGTCCACTGCCTGGGCTCTGCAAACTGTCTGGTTTCTCTGTGCTTCCACTTCCCAGTGCTGCTGGTGGCCACGGTGCGGCTCGGTGTGCTTGTGGCTCTGGGCTGGCTGATGTTGCAAACAGATTTGCTGGGAGTGGTGTCATAAGTAATCATTCACAGAGTGTGTCATGAAAGCAAACATCCCTATCCTTGGGTTGCTACTGAGATTATATTCTTAATGTATTCTAGTGACATTATCAAATTCTAGTGGGTTACTTAACTGCCTTTTCGCTGCCAAAAAAAAAAAAAAAAATCCCATCTGTTTTTTAGCCCTTCAGAAGCATTTCCCTGTGCTCTGGCAGAAACCAGCAAACCTCAGCATTTCAGGGTGCTTAGCAGCTGATCCCCTGAGAAGGTAGAAAAGGAGGGGAAACAGCAGCTCTGAGGAAATTGGAAGTGCTAAGATGAGCAGATCTCTTTGCCCTTCTTCCAAACACTCATCTTCAGAGCTGGGAGAGAGTCGCCAAGTCTCTAAATATCAGTACCACCACGCTCTCTCTACTCCATGCCTTGGGTTTGTGGTAGAGACACTGCTTGTTGTCTGGGGGACCAGAGAGCTCCCTCATCCCTGCCATCTCCCTGTTCATCCCACTGTTCTTTCCCTTGGCAGCGTCCCTGCACCATCAACCTTTGCTGTGGAAGCATGTTGTGAAAGCCAGGGGAGGAGTATTGCTGCCCGCAGCAGAAAGATAATGCAGCAGAGCGTTAAACAGCCAAGTAGTCCTGGCCTGGGATTGTCACAGTGCTCATAAGCTGGGCAAAGACCAAGGGAAAGGGCAAGTCTGCCTCATGCCAGCTGGCACTGCAGGGGTGGAGGTTCGTCCCAGCGAGCTTAGTGGCGAAATGCCCTTGGCTGAGGCACTCATGGCTCAACAGGGCAGCGTCTCGGCTGATCCTGCCATGTCCTGCACGGGGAGCCAGCACATTTTGCATACTGGTCCCGAAGGCTGCCTGTCCCCGTGGTTCTCTGGGGAGATCCTCTCCATGGTTGCAGAGCAAAGCTCAGTTTCTCTCTCAGAGCAAGCATAAGTGCGTCTGGCCAAAGCACTGGGCACACAGCTGCACTCCCAGTGTTGTGCCTCTGAGGGAGCCAGGACTGGCTATCGGAGGGGGCCAGCACCAGGGTAGGGGGATGTAGGAGGATATAACGTGTCTCATCCTTTTCCATCAGGCAGAGAGTGCCAGGACCAAAGCAGTGGCTCTGATGATGACTGTACGGGCCATGGATCAGGATAGCCAGGTGAGCAGACACACGCGCCTAATATTTGACCCTTCTCTGGCCCAAATAAAGCAACACAGGGACACCTCCCTTCTGGGGCTTCCTCCACGTGAGGCATTGCAGGCTGGGGCACGTGAGCACGAGGGGTGATTTGTCCTGTCTGTAGTGGGTTCCCAGGTGAGAACTTTTCCCCAGCACTTCATTCCCCAGGGCATTTGGAAGGGGCTGGGGTGTTTGCTGCTGTGCTTCCCTGGACCTGCAGCTCCTTACTTGCCCTGTGTGGGCTTTGCTTTCACTCTCACACAGGTCTCTGGAGCAGAGCATCTCAGCAGTGCAGACCCCAGCCTGGTGCTTCACTCGGACCTGAGCTCCATGTCTGGCTGAAGGTCCCACGTGGTTCACAGGACAGCGCTCTCCAAACCAGAGCTGAGTCACTAGCCGCAGTGCTGGGGAGCCTTGGACGTGAGACTAAAACAGCCACTCTGGCGTGGGAGAGGTCATGCTAACAGCAGCCTGGGAGCTTCTGAATTTCAGTGGTGTTTGCTGTTATCTCGTATCTGGGCTTAGTGCCTTTATTGCTAGGCTCAATAGGTATGGGCCAAATCCATCCCTGGATCATGAGGCTGCAGGCCGTCAATACCAGCCTTGTGGGGGGAGAGTTGGTCAGGAATGACCAGGTGGGGGTGCAAGACTTGTTTTTGGGAATAAAGAGCAGGGTGTCTCTGCTCCTTCAGCACAACACCTCCAGCTACCTGCAGACTCTAGAAGGAGTCCAGTCAGTGCTGGGGGGAACTGAATCACATCCTTGAGGACTCCTGGCTTCAGGGGAGACTCTGGAGCTGAGGCAGTGCCTGGTCCCTGGAACTGGGAGGACTCCATGGTTCCATGACTGCAGTGGATCTCTCTGGGTTTCTTCGGGGATCAGGGAGGATGCAGACTGGAGCAACGGCAGCTTTCAGTGCTTCACAGAGGCCAGCAGGAAGGAGAGAACTGTGGGAACAATCATGGGAATTCACGGGCTCTTCATATGTAGTCTAGTATTAATTCAATATTAAAGTGATGGGGACACATCTTTGAATTCTTCTCCAGCTTCTCCAGTGCGGGCACAGCCTTGCAGCCCACTTTCACAAGGCCACATCCGTCTGCCCAGGGTCGCCACCACATCCCTGCTCTCAGGGGCACAAGGGGTGCTGCAGAGGAGCCCTGGGGCAGCTGTGCTGGCTGCTGAACACCAGGACCATAGGGCTGTAGGGAATCCTCGTAACCTGAGCTTTGGTTTCTCCCAGGCTCCAGAGTGAAATTCCACCTCAACCCCAGGCACTTGGCGCTGCTGTGGAAGGGGGAGGGAGCCTTTATCTGAGCCTGTGGCTGTCCAGCCCAGACAGTTGGGATGATTTCCTAACAGACACCTGGCCTTTGCACCTCCCACCATCTCATCTTTCAGGCAGGCTCAATCCCAGCCAGCTATTGCAGGGCTGAGAGTTTGAGGCTGAGAGCTGGGTCTGCCATAAAGGTGTTTCTTCCATTGCACGCGGTTTTACTGCTGCTGGGTTTGCCTCCTAAGCCCCAGGGAAGGGAAGGGTCCTGCTCAAGAGGAGCAAAAGCATTAACACAGGGCTAATGCTCAGTGTCATCAGTTGTCCACCCCGGTATCAGCAGAAGACACACACAGGACAGCATATGGGAGCTTAGCCCTGAGCAAGGGTTGGTTGGAGCTCAGCTCTGAGATGCACCCTGAGGATATGCAGCCTGACCCAGTCCCTTTCGGAGAGACACAGTGTGCGCAGGCACGTCTCTACGGGTAAAACAGGTCTTTCTGGCATCTCCCAAAAGTGTATTAATGCATGCAGGTCTGCAATAGGAGGGAGAGCCTGTTGGAACAAGCAGCCCTCATGAGTGCCACCTGCTAAAGGGCTGCCCAGGACCCGCTGTCTGGGGCACAAAGGGGAATCGGTCACCCTTCAGGGGATAGGGGTGGCCAAGGACGAGGGAGGCTGAGATCCAGCGCAAGAGGATTTCTTTTCAGCTGATCTAGGAAAAACGCAGCCTAATCTGAGTCCTGCTGGATAACCTTGGGCAGTCGTTTTGCCTTTCTGGGCCTTGTGGTTCCTCCCTGCAAAACAAGGCTGATATTCCTCTCCTGAGTGAAATGCCTGGAAACCTGCAGATGCAGGAACTACCACCATGCTACCACCAAGACTTTCAGCAACCTGGGTCTTCCAGGACAGTGGGTTAACCTATTTTTGAATAGATATATTCTACAATTTTTCTGTCCCCTTTAATAAACCAGAGCCATCCAACCCCAGTTACCCTTCACAGACCTCTCACTAAAGGAGCCAAAGAGATGCTGTCAGATACAGGGTAATTACCACAGGTTTATTTTGGAGGTTAGGAAGTCTTTATAGTTTTGGTCTGTGGCTTCCTGAGCGATGGTGATGATAACTTGAGAACATCTCTGCTCCCTGCATGTGAATCTGCACTTAGGCACGCTTTAGCTGCACAAGGCTCCTCAAGCGAACAAGCAGAAAAGGCCTTTGGGCATTGTTGGGAGCAATTTTACAAAGCCTCTCATTTGCATGCACTGAGTAACGCTCCGGCTGCGAGACTGCTTTGCTAGCTTTGTTCCACTTCCCCTATACACAGTAGTTTCATTTTA